TATTATAACTCTTAAGTGCAAATTAAGGGAAAATTTCAAGCCATCGCTTGGTGATTGGCATTTGTTTCTGAAACTATTTAAGTATTCCGATCGACATATCTCGACTAGCTGAGTCGATCTAGGCATGTGTGTCCGTCCGTCCACCTGTCCATTATAATTTGTAAACACGATACAGGCCACAGTTATGGACCAATCTTCACGAAATTTTGCTTGTAGGATGGGTTCTGGCCAATGAAGACCCCTATTGTTTTTGGTAAAGATCGGTTAATATTTAGGGGATGAAATGGACCAAAAACTTTATTTTTGTCTGATTTTCTGGTCTCTCCAGATGCTGCAATTATGGTCCAAACATCGTGAAATTTTACATGGAGAAGGGGATCGGGCCAAAGAATAAGCATGCATGCATGTTTTGATAAAGATCGGTCAATATTCAGCGGGTCAAATGGACCCTGACTTTTGTGTGAAAAATTTCAAAATTTGTATTCTATTGCGTATATATTTGCCACTAAAGCACCAAGACCCGAGAAGTTGATAGTATGCTCAAGAGGAGTGGTTGACCTATAAATTGATACCAATTATATGGTCGTATGTCCTCAGATGTGGGAATTACAATTAAATATTTACAGGTGCTTAAGTATTCAGACATTATTTAGTAACCCACTACCACACTAGACGGCGGAAATATAGCGCTGATCGCTTTGAAATTTTCCATGAGATTCCAATTATGGTCGAGGACAACGCCTATAATTTTCGGTGATGATCAGATAATAATTTTGGGATGAAGTGGGCCGAAAACTTAACTTTTTGTGTGTGTGTGTGTGTGTGTGTGTTTTTTTGAGTCGATCTATAGGAAGCAATTGAAAGCCCAACATCACAACATAACCTAAGGTAAAGAGAATCTGGGCAAGTACAGCCCTCGTCTACTGAATATTAGTAATATTTGTTGACCTTTAGTCGGGTGTCAAGAGGGTGCAAATAACGCAAAGTTAGATTTTCATGGAAGTTGTGTAGGGTATCATATGCTCACTGGTTTAATATTGTCATTGATTTCGGGACTTCTTTATATGAAAAACATTGCATTAATCAATATGATAAATATTTTTGTATCTTAATGTATATATACACAGTATAAATAATACAATCCATGTATTGTCTAGATCCTATGATTTTGTGGAAAAATTGAGGGATATTTGATTAACAAAACAAGTTCAATATAGTTCCATATTTTGTATGCGATTACTTTGTAACAAAGATGGTCAAATGTTCTCTTAACAAAGAGAAAATGAAAATAAGGATTATTTTGCAGGATATAATTAAGATAAATTAAAAAATAAATAATATCCGAAAAAGTGTAAAAAACAACATCATTATAAAATTCCGAAAAACTTTTCGTTAATGTTTATTTTTGTTTTAATAATAAAAAAAAAACTCTTACAAGAACGGATCGACGCTGGTGTGCTAGGCTGCCATCTTTGCTTGGTAACCTTAACTCAAAAATATAAACCGAAATAAGCAATTATCTGTGTACGTACATATGTTACTCATATTTCAATTACCTGCAGTCACATCTATTGACAATTCGACTTGTGTCATAAAAAGAGTTTGATGTTTACCTAGTCACAGCAAACTCCGTGTGTGACTAATAATTAGTAGGAATTTCGATAGATAAGGACAATAAGAATATCGCATCGTTTGTACAAATTCTTTGTAATAAGACTAGGTAGACAATACATTATGTTTTTTATTACCGGCACAATAAATGTTTAGATAGTATTTTTAATGACCTGTTGTAAAATGTTTGTTTTGCGGTTTCAAGGACAAAGAACGTTTGATTTTTTTTTATCACGTATTTGAAATTGTATTTCGAATTGTGGTTATTGGAATATTAACTTTACAGGGGAATATTAACTCAAAGGTTCATGGTGTGTTAAAACATATTCATAATAAATTCATAATAGGCCTGGCATTTGGCATTCTGGATTTATTCGTAATTAAAGATCTCTATGTGGAAAATGTTGGATATGCGTCCCTGTTAATACCAAAATGACCTATTCACAGAATAATTTCAATAATAATTTGATCATAGCGCTTTTTACATCAGTATGCACCCTTATTAGAAAATTCTATTTGGTATCGAGTATAGGGGATATCATAGAACATGTTTTGTTTTTAAGCCTTTTAATTTTGTTTTTATAGCACTGTGACACATTTTTCATCTTGAACATCTCGAACATTCTCTCTTCAGAAATGTTTTGCCTCTTAATAAGATCTAAAAGTTTTGCTTTGATTTTGCAAACATCATATTGAAAATAGAACAACTGTTTGAGTTTAGAACTTGCTATTAATTCGACCAATAGTTTCCTCGGTTTTCCGATATTGTTCGTAATTTTTGAGTTGACATGTATTTACCAAAATCGATTTAGGAACATTTTTGTATAACATTTTGTCCTTCTAATTTGTTCATGTTTTCTTAAACTGTGAACATTTTCGCCATAATTAGGTAATTATGGCGAAAATGTTCCTTCCGGAAAATTGTGCAGTGTAAGTGAAGATATTGATTTTTAATCTAATGTCAATTCTCTTGATAGAATTATTAGCATTATAACCCTAGAGGGTGTAAATATCGCTTTTCGCAAAATATTGGCTAGGCTCGGAATATAGATGCACAGAAAGTCGGGTTCGCTCAACGGTACTGCTGCACCCGCAGTTGTTATACCCTCCATCATAGTGTAGAGGGTTTACTACCTTTGTTTTTCCGTTTATATTTCATCGAAATAATCATATCCGACCCTATAAATTTCATATATTCTTGGTCAGTGTAAAATTTTTTAAGCCTGTCTATACGTCTCTTTTAATCACTCTAGTCTCTAAACGAATTGAGATAGATCCCAAAAATTAGTATAGAGTTGTATTTTGTCAAATTCGGTCAGGTCGAGTTCGAATATACGTTTATCACCCATATAAGGATACCCCCATATTTTCCATATTTTGGTGTTCTTGTGTACGCTTTTCAACCGGATCCACTGAAATTTACTACAATGGGTTCTTATTAGGTACCAAATCGCTCCACTAATAATTTTTCAAGCGAATTCAATTTAATATGATTTGTAATCCTATTTGGTAAAAAATTTCGCTCCTAAAAATTCCACCATAGTATGGGGCATATTCTGCATTCGAAATTGTCAGTTTATACCCTACAAAGTATGGAATTCAAAGACGATTTACCCATCTATTGCAGTCATTCTACATTCGGAGGATATCGAGATAAAAAACAAGAACGTCATGTTCGAGAATGAAAATATATCGACCCCTATATACAAATACCTACCGATTTAATATTGGTTGGGGAAATATAAATCCATTATTTCCATTATTATGTCCGATTATGCAACGTTTGGTTGTCTGATTTGTTGTCGTTTTAAAGGTAACTTCATAATGCCTTTATTTTTTTTCACAATCCTCGCTAGATACCAATTTTTTTTCATTAAAGAAATTTTGCAATGCAAAAAAAGATGATAATCGTTTGGTGCCAAAACTGTACGGCGGATGCATTAAAACTTCCCAACCAAGCTCCCGAAGTTTCTGGCAAGTCACTGTAGATGTATGTGGCATAGCGTTGTCCTAGTTGAACACGAAACCTCTCCTGTTGTCCAATTCTGGTCGTTTCTGATCAATTGATGCTAATAGCTTGGTGCCAAGTCCAGACTGTATGGCGGGTGCATTAAAACATCCCAAAGTTTCTGACGAGTCAACGTAGATGTGTTTGGCCTAGCGTTGTCCTGGTGGAACACGGCCGTTTCTGGTCAATAGTAAATGATTTAAAACAGTCTTATGGTCGATTTTTAGCTCCTGGTCGATGTTATGACTGTTAACATGCCGGTCAACTTCGATTATTTCCCCGATTATATCGAAATTTTCGACGATCGGACTACCTGTGCGAGGTACATCCTTAACATCAAAAATTCCTGAACGGAATCTACGAAATCAAAATTGCACATAATTGGCTGTTACAGTATCGGAACCATAAACACCATTCACAATTTTGACCACTTGCATTTTCGCTCATTGGAAATATTCCGAGAAAGGAACGATCGGAACTAGTTCCAGCTCTGCAATTAATATAGTTCCTTTTCCAGATATCGTTCCTTTTTAATCTCAGTCTTTTTTCATTTCCTTTTTTTCGTTCTTTTTTCTGAACTCGTTCCTTTATTCCGATATTCTTCATTCGTTATTTTGTCATTATATATTTTTTTTGTTTTAAATATTTTTATTTATTTATAAAAAAAGTGTTTGTGCTTACCGTCCTGCAGTTGATATCTTTAGCTTCATTTCATTTTTGCACAATTTTCAATTTTTGCATTTATTAACAACACGGAACTATGTGAGCGAAAACAAAAAGAACGATGAAAGAGAGAGAATTTAAAGGAACTATGTAGGAGTCGGAACTATACGGAGCAAAGGAACTATAAAGAGCAAAGGAACTATAAAGAGCAGAGGAACTATATGGATCAAAGGAACTATAAAGAGCAAAGGAACTATATGGAGCAAAGGAACTATATGGAGCAAAGGAATTATAAATAGCAAAGGAACTGTATTCAGTAAAGGAACTATATGGAAAAAACGAAAAAAAAAACAAAAAGAATGATGAAAGAGAGATACAAAGGAACTATGTAGTAGTCGGAACTATTTGGAGCAAAGGATCTATTTGGAGCAAAGGAACTGTATGGAGCAAAGGAACTATTTGGCAAAGGAATTACATTATGGAACTAGTTCCTTTTTAAAAAAGAAATGAGAAAGATCGATCCGCTAAGTGAACTAGATTGCCCAACTCTAGAGTTCAATCAGAAAAATGACAGACTATAACCAATTCGCTTTCAAAGCATTTATTTTGCATTTATGTTTAAAATATAAACTATTGAAATATTTATTTTGTAATTAGATTGATATTTTTATGGAATGTCGCAGTCAATGTTTTTTTTTCTTTTTGTGTTTACATCCATTTAACCTCTTTTGTTGGCCTGTTTCTTAGCATTCTTCTTCTTCTTGTTTTGATTCTGTTTCTTATTTTTACCCTTGCCTTTCTTATTTCCTTTCTTGGCAGGCCTCTTATTCTTCTGCTTCTTGTTCTTTTGTTTCTTGTTGCCTTTTTTATTATTTTTCTTGGCTGGTTTCTTATTGGGGTTTTTATTTCCTGGCTTCTTATTTTTGTTGGGTTTCTTGTTAGCTACAGGTTTCTTAGTAGTGGCTGTAGGTTTCTTAGTAGTGGCTGTAGGTTTCTTAGTAGTGGCTGTGCCACCACCAGGCGAAGGGGCAGGAGAAGGAGTTGGATTAGCTGGTGTTGGAGATGATCCTTCGGGAGTTGGATTAGCTGGTGTTGGAGATGATCCTTCGGGGGTTGGATTGGCTGGAGAAGGATCAGCTGGGGTTGCTCCAGTTGCAGGCGTTGGATCTGCCGTACCAGTTGGTGCTGGTGCAGTTGGCGCTGGATCTTCTGCCGTCACAAATACCAATAATATGGCAAAACAAATTAGGCTTAGAAATTTCATATTTGCCGTTGAAGTAGCTACAAATTTGTAAGATGTATTGCGGGAACTGATAGTAGTGATTGATAGTAAAACCTCGGAATAAGATCTGTATTTATACCAATTTCTTTATGTTTTATTTAGTAATTTAAATTTGATTTCAGTTATAGTTTTGTAAATCTTGTAGTTGGAGAAATGCAAATATTTGCTCAGTTATGTAAATTATTAATTTTGAAAAAGAGTTTTGGTTACTATTTACTAAATACAAATAAATTCGAAATCGAAAAAAAATTGTCTATCGTTAACAAATGTTTTCCATTTTGTGTGTTATTTGTTTGAGATTTTACAGGGAGTTCTTTCAATAAAAAAGAAACATATGTTGTTGGAAATAACCCGAAATCTTTAAAAAATGTTTCTGGGGTACAAATTGGCTGATGGATGAATTAAAACAGCAAATTTGAGAATAAAAAATAATAATGAAAATCATATAATTTTAAAGCGGGCTACAAAACCTCAATTGTAGGAATTTTTATTGTTATTCGAAATAGTTCCGACAATTCGAAAATTTCTTTTGTAATTTCAAATATTAGAAATAAAATAATTCACATCACAACTGAAATGTTTCGAATAACTTCTGGAGAAGGCATAGTCCTGAAAATGTGCAGCATTCGATGAAGTGGGAACAGTTTACATAGCCTCTTTAAGGAATTATTTGTTTACAACACCATATTTTAATCACTATTCAGTTCACCTTGTCCTCTATTAAAAACTTCTGCGGTTGGACAGACACATTACTTACAATAAAAAACTTAACACATGTTTCTATTTTATTAGGTGAACCCCCTGCAAAATCTTTAGCAAACAATAATACCAAAAAATTTAAAACACTTGTTAAGGGCAGACAATTTCCGCGTAGGCCGAAAGTTATTAAAAATATTAAATTTATATAACTGAACAAATATTTGTTTTTCTCCAATAGAAATCTATACAAAATTAAAAAAAGCTCAAAGCAATCAAGTTCATTTTTTTTATTGAATCAAAAACTAGTATAAATACAGATATTATCCCAAGGTTTTATTATCAATCGTCACCTTTCGTTCACTCAAAACAATTACTTCGACCGCGAATATGAAATTTCTAAGCATAATTTGTTTTGCCATAGTATTGGTTTTTGTGGCGGCAGAAGATCCAGCACCAGCAACAGCACCAACTGCCACTGGTCCTGCTGATCCACCACCTGCAACTGGAACAACTCCAACTGATCCATCTCCAGCTAATCCAACCCCCGAGGGATCATCTCCAACACCAGCAAATCCAACTCCTTCTCCTACTCCCGCCCCAAATGGTGACAGTCCCAGTACCGTAGCACCTGCTCCCAACAAGAAACCCACAGCCACCACTAAGAAACCTGCAGCCACCACTAAGAAACCTGCAGCTAACAAGAAACCCACCAACAACAATAAGAAACCTGGCAATAAAAAACCCAATAAGAAGCCAGCAAAGAATAATAATAAAAAAGGAAACAAGAAACAAAAGAACAAGAAGCAGAAAAATAAGAGACCTGCCAAAAAAGGAAATAAGAAAGGCAATAAGGGCAAAAATAAGAAACAGAATCAAAACAAGAAGAAGAATAATGCAAAGAAACAGGCTAACAAGCGTAATTAATTTCAATAAGCCAAAGATGAAGACTTAAAAACAAATTTTACTAATTATTAAAAAAAAATATCATTTTTTATACTAATATTGAATGCAATAAATATAAATTGAATAAAATGAATGTTGTAGCAAGATATTTTATTATTTTTCCACAATATTCATAAGAAGAAAAACATTAGCGTAAGTTATTATAACATTATTATCCTATCGTTAATCCTCGTTGTTTTGTTTTGATTCACTGTGCAACATTATTTTCGTTAGACTTTGAACCTTTGCACTGTTTAAATACTTATTGTTTGTAACGAATATTCAAAACAAATTGAGTGAACGAAGATATTGAGTTAATTTGAATTATATTCGATCAATACTTTTAAAAGCTTTGTTTGGATCGCTATAAAAGGGCAATGATTTTACACAAAAAGATCTTGATTCTCTTTTAGACAATCCATAGGGTAAGAAGTACGTCTTCTTGGAAACATTATAATGAGGTCGGTTGATTTATTCTTCCAATTACATAGAATAATTGGTGAAAGCGAAGGCAGTCCCTTGTATTCATGTTTGACAGCCTTACCTAAAATTCAACTAGCTCGTTCGACGTTTTTCACCACAAAAGTAGAACACATGTAGTTATATGAGGGTCGTACCTAAATCCATGCGTATGCGTACGAATTTATTCACCTCAAAAGTTAAATACATGTATTTCAATGAATGTTACCCAAATACGCATTGCGTATTAAAATATAAAGTTGAAAATTTTCAACATTGACAATGCGTATTTTGGAATTTTTATTTTTTGAAAATAGAATTCCAGTCATTGAAAAATTTGTTTTTCTATAAATGTAAACATTTTTCGATCAATTCGAAAACAGTTTTCATCCATTTTTGCCGTTTTCAATTGGCATATATGCAAATAAAGTCCTTACGTATTTGGGTAATACGGACGTCTTACAAACCCTGTAAAGGTGAGTATTTTTGTACGGAGCGCAATGAATTAGGTGCGACCCTGAATGTTACCGAAATACGTCGACGTACGAATTTTCAAAGTTGAAAAAATTCAACTATGACAGAACGTAGTTTTGTCTTTTTCTTTTGTTGAAAAAAGAAACAAAACGTAAAGAAATGTATTTTTATACCCTACACAACTATGTTGTCAGGGTATTATAGCTTTGTGCAGCCCAAAAAGTTTGTAACGCCGCGAAATATTGGTCCTAGACCCACCTTTAAGTATACCGATCGTCATATCTCGACTAGCTGAGTCGGTCTAGACATGTGTGTCTGTCCATTATAATTTGTAAACAATACAGGCCACAGTTATGGACCAATCTTCACGAAATTTGCATGTAGGATGGGTTCTGGCCAATGAAGACCCCTATTGTTTTTGGAAAAGATCGGTTAATATTTAGGGGATGAAATGGACCAAAAACTTTATTTTTGTCGGTTTTTCTGGTCGCTCCAGAGGCCGCAATTATGGCCCAAACACCGCGAATGGAGAAGGGGATCGGGCCAAAGAATAAGCATGCCTGTTTTGATAAAGATCGGTCAGTATTTAGCGGGTCAAATGGACCCTAACTTTTGTGTGAAAAATGACAAAATTTGTATTCTATAGCGTATATATTTACCACTGAAGGACATAGACCCGAGAAGTTGATAGTATATCCAAGAGGAGTGGTTGACCTTTAAATTGATACCTACTATATTGTCGTAGGTACTCGGATGCGGGAGTTATACCTAAATATGTACAGGTGCTTACGTATTCATATATTATATAGTCACCTATATTACCACACTGGAGGGCGGAAATATAGCGCTGATTGCTTTGAAATGTTTCATGAGGTTCCAGTTATGGTCAAGGACAACGCCTAAAATGTTAGGTGATGATCAGATAATATTTTTCGGATGAAGTGGACCGAAAACTTAATTATTTGTACTTTTCGAGTCGAAAGCCGAACATCACAACACAACCCACACAACAAGCTGGACAAGTAATTAGAGGTGCTGTACTGATTATTAGTAATACATTTGCTGACCTCTAGCCAGTCAAAAGTGTGCAAATATCGCGAAATATTGCCCAATCTCAGAATATAGAACCACAGAAAGTTAGATTTTGTGTAGGGTATCGTATGGTCGGCCCTGTCCGACTATACTGCTCCGCTCACTGGGTTTTCAATAAGAATATGAACTATTTGAACACATTTTATAATTTCTTAATTTTATTTCGCGATTTTGTTTAGTTCGCTATGAGAAATGGATTCGACGCATTAGGGTAATACGGCCGTACAAAACATTTCGCCATAGTGGGGAAGTCGAATATTTTTGTACGCTTCGTTGAATATTAGGTAACGTTGTGAGGCATATGGAATAATTGTCAAAAACGTAAGATAATAATCTCCATACATATAAAAATTACGTGTATGTTCGTGATCGATAAACTCAAAAACTACTGCACCGATTTAGACCAAATTGTATGTACATGCTCTATGGGGCGTGAGGAGTGATTCTGTGTAGTTTGAAGTTCATCCGACAGATGGCGCAATATTAAGTTTGTTTGTGGTTTTTCACTATAATTCAAGAACTACTGCACCGATTTGACCAAACTTTACGTATATGCTCTATGGGGCGAGAGTAGTGTTTTTGTGTTTAATTTTAAGTTCGTCCGACAGATGGCGCGATGTATAGCTTCATTGTGTTTTGCCGTCATGTTTTTGATTGGGTGCTTAATCGACCTTAAGTATTCTGACACCAATTCATACATAACCTGTTTTCGTGAATGGCGCGTGGGAGTCAAACGAAAAAAATAACTTATCAAATTGAAGTACATTTAACTTAAATCTACTTATAAAAATTTTGTAAAAAACTTATAGTAACTCATCAATTTCAGAACGGAGGGACAGATTTGACAACAAATTTCTTCCAGTTATTTGTAATTGGTGTGAGAAGGTTTTTATGAAAAAAATTTTGAGAAAAATACGCGAAAATCTTGAAAAATATATTTCGAGGGAGCGGCGATTTGCCTACAAATATGTGGTACATATACCCTAAAGTGATACTCTACCGACAATTTACAGATAAGTTCCTTACCCATCATTAAATACCAAATAAAGAAATTTATAGGGTATTTGTTACAACTTTCAAAGTAGCTAATACTACACTATGCAAAATATGGACCAAAGATAAGGAGGCTTAAAAACGCACAATAATGGCGAGCCAATTTTTCTATGTTATAAAACCAACACATGGCATATACTCCTTACGATATCTGAATCATTGGCTGAAACTTGAACGTATTCTATTAGGAATATTGTTCTGTTTAGGATATACCAAAATGTCCATTTAAAATGTTCAATAGCTGCTACAAAAGATTACAAATACCTCAATAATTTAACTAGCTATGGAACGTATTATTGAAATTTTTCTTTTATTCGGGAAGTATATATATAAATTCGAATCCTACATGGAGAAAATTGCGCAATACTTGCTTTAGGTGTCTAACTTATATGTGCCTTTATTGTTCCTCAAATATGTTTTTCTTGATGTGAAAAATGTTGCAATTTAGAACGCCTGCACCAATTTCACTCACATTTTCCTACGGTTGTTTTTAACTGCAGTGGAAAGAGTTTTACTAAAGAAAATGTTGAATGTTGTGTTATTTACACCTTTTATAACTCAAGGACGTCTGCACCAATTTTGATGATTCAAAGGACTTATGAATTGTATGTGATAAAAATAGGAATAGTAATTACGCCATCCATACTAAATTATCTCTTGAGGTAAGAGTAGTTAGATCAAAACTTGGCCTTCTCCTGAAAAATGTTTGGTGGAATAAGTTCGACAAATTGATAAACTGAACCACACATACTGACATAATTTAATATTTAACAATAACAATATTTCTTAAAATATTGTGGTATCAGTAAATGAAGGTTTACTGTCGTGAGGAAAATATTATGCTTATTTTTTATATCGATAATTGGACAAAAATTAAATGGTAAATAGTTTCTGAAATGTATTTTTCATGAATTCGTTAATTTTAACCAAACCTAAATTGATCCAATTCTGATACGGCAAAACAACGTTTGCCGGGCCTGCTAGTTTTTAATAAAATATTATTCGAGTGACTTGCGACCAAACTTCTTGTTTTCGAAAAATATGTCATTTATTTTTGTTTAGAATCAAAAAACATTTTTTATATAAATAAAGGTTTGGTAGTAATTCGTTTGATTTGGTTTTATTCGAATTTTACAAAAACAGGTTGTAAATTTCAGTATGTTTAGTTCGTAAAATTTGATTTCAAAATCGGTTAAGTTTTAAATACAGATGTAATATATAATATATAGCTGCCATTTATGTGAAAATGGCCCCCTGCTTACGTCTCTGCATTCTACAGTTTTTCTTTGACAAAGGCGAAAATGCAAGCCATGTGGCTAAAATTGTAAAAATATTGTGCAATTTTGGTTTCGTAGATTCCGTTCAAGACTTGTTGACGTTAAAGATTGAGAAATGATCGAAGTGGACCGGCATGTAACATCGCCCAGGAGCTAAAAATCTTAATAGTCGATAATAGATTTCTTTTTCCCCAACCTAATATATGCTTTGAAAACCACAACCCTTCTGTTTCATTTTTTAGATACTAAGCGTTTATCGCGGATTCCATTTTTAAGATATAAGATGTAAGATATTTCAGATGTAAGTCAAAACTACTGTAATAACAATTTTATTTGTTATACTATAATGCATTACTTCTGAAACTGATTGACATGATTGGATGGACCAAAAATACGTAAGGCAAAATAATGACAACAACCTTAGGTACACTGACAGTTTAAATAAAATGTTCATGTAGTCATATGTTTCCAATTTTTTTTTTTTTTTTTCATAAATTTGCCTTTGACAGTATTCAGATTTCAAAATTCAAATAAAAATATATTCCTTCGAAATGTACGCATATTAGTTGTTTAGTGGCAAAAAATGCAAAATAATTTATACTTATAAATATTTTGAAGTTCCCAGCC